GCAGGACGTTGCACTTGGCCTTGTAGAAGGTGTTGCAATAGGGTGTCCAAGGAAATTGTAGTCTAAGCAAAAAGGCTATTTTTTTTTTTTCCTTTCCAAAGACTTTAAATTCTTCAGAAATTTAAAAGCTGGTAGTGCCTCTGTGTAGTTCGATGGGTTAAGATGTGCTGTTATAATATTTTATAACATGCTTGTGGATGAATCACTATGGTTAGAAAAATGCAATTTCCTCAACCAAAACCAGTCCTTTTGGTTGGCTAGGAATGTCATGGCTGGCTTGCTGTGCTTTGAGTTGTCAAGCTCTACTCCCTGAGGCGGCTTTGTGAACTAGCTTGTTTCCCCCTGGGAATATGCATTCTTTTTTTTTTTACTTTCCACCATACGCTGAAAAGTTCTGTGTTCTGTTTTCTCCCTTAATAGTTAGGTAACAGTTTGGAACTCATTTATCAGCGGATGAGTTTTCAAGAAAGACCAGCAACTCCTGCTGATTTTCGTGACCAAAAACTTGGTTAATAGTAACTTTTCACAGTTAGACTCTGAGGTAAATGTGGTACTTTCAGCTTTCTGATCAGTGTTTTAAAAAAAATTTTTTTTTTTTTTAAAAAAAAGCCCAGCAGCCTTCAGACTTGCTTGGGCTTGACTTCATACCTCAATCCACATGAGGCACTAAAATGCTTTTAATATATTAGAAAGCAATTACATTTATTCATACATGATTTTTTTTTTGGTGTTGAGTTTTATTTGACAGCAAGAGAATACAGGCAATTTAACTTGTCATTTTTTTTCTATAGAGACTTTTCCATTCAATATCCAGACAGATTTTAAAAGCCAATATATACTCCTCCATTACTTCAAACTGTTGAAAAATGAGATAAAGTCACAAAGCAGTAGAGCCATATAGTGCTCAACTGCACAGAATTGGGAAACTGCTGGTGAGATTGATGAGGGTATGGGATAGACTACATTGTCTGGATCTTTTGGTTTATAGTAATCTTTTTTTTCCCAGGATTGTGGCATGACCTCCAGAGGTCACTGTTGAATGTCTCATCGCCTTGTTTTGTAGACGGCGTGAGGACAGCGTGTTCGCTAGGAGGGGAAAATATTAACGATACAGGAATTTATTTTTCTCAGTTTGGGATGAAGTTTCACTCAGTGGAAATTACAACAGCGCTATGCCAAAATAAAATCCTGCAACACTACAAGTTGAAATTTCAGCTTCTGTTTTGGGTGAGGAAGAAGAAAAGTAATTCAGAGCTTAGGCTAAAGCATATCCAAAGCTCTGGGTCTCCATTTGTAGTATTATAATTGTTGGTTGGTAATCAGGAAGGAGAGAGAATCTGTGGTTGTTAGAAAAGCTCTGCCTCTTCCCATGTGTGGAAGGCAGAAATATCTAGGAATGTAGGTTTGTAACATCATGCTGGGACATGAGATAATATCGTGTGATATCTAACCAGTCTGGGTACACTGGGGTTGGAGTAGGACTTTGTAATCTGATGTTTTCATTGCAAAAGGTATTAAAAACATCTTTTATATTTGGTGAATACAGGGGCACTTTTAATGATGGAGTGATGAATGTTGCTGCCAGAAGTGTTCGTATACCAATGATGGGGTGACGTTAGAACTTCCCAGGGAGAAACGTGATACCACTGACTGCATATTCTGATAGCTTGGTAGCATAGTCTGCCCAGACCTACTGTGGAAAACCACCAATAAATTAAGGTTGGCTGTGAGAAGAGCTTCTCTGAGGAAGCCTGGTCCCCCTGAAGCATGGGAACACTCCAGCCTTTTAGGTTGCAGCTGAATCAGGCTCTTGGGCTGGGCTGTGTGTGGCTGACCTTAGGAATTATGTCCTCTTGACCCTCGGAAGTGTGTCAAACCTCTGGCCCAATACCAGCTCACTAATGCCAGTAGGCACTTCATAGAGTAATTTCTGATGTGAGATGGGCAAGTGATCCCAGATTGTTTTTTCTTTGAGATTAAAATGAAATGATTTAGAACTTGTTTTCAGATGCCTTTCTTTCAGTGTAGGTGCTTGATGAGCTGTGCTTTTCTTGCTCTGCTGTTTGAAACCACATCTAAGATTGAAGAGAAATCCTACTGTGTTGCTGTGGCAATTAGCTTTTACAATTTTCCCCGAAGAATTTCCTTTTTGTTAATAAAATCTCTTTTGACTCAAATGACCAAAAACACAGTTGGAACTTCATTCAGATTTTCATAAAATGGGTATGCAGCATTTTTGACTTGGCCTGTTTTTGAGTTCTGAGACCATATTTTTCTCTTAAAACTTGAGCACTGCCATTTTGGGTGATTGCACGTTACTGGAAACGCTTGGGAAGAGAGGATAGCAATAAGGAAAAATTACCAGCTTGGTCTTTACCAGCCAACGGACTTACCAGTTAAGGGGACTAATGGAGGCAGGAAGGTGTCGTGTTTCGCTCTTTGGTTCAGAATGAGCTGCTTATGGCACTGGAAGGGATCGGGGCGTTTGCTCTTTCCGTATGATTTTGACTAGGAAGATGTGGTCTGCTAATGCTGTAATATGATTACACAGCGCAACAGATTGCGGTGGATCAGGAAAGGTGACCTACTTATTAGGGTGGCATGATTGACCCCTGTCAGCTGATGTGCGAAGGCAAGCTTCCGTTTGGTCTGGAGCGGCACAGCTCTGTCCCTGGGCAGTGTTGCTTCCTGTACAAAAAAAAAAAAGGTGATTTTTACCACTCTGTTTCTGCGTATTCCTCGTATCCAGAGAAATTTACTTAAGCAAAATGTACCTAGCACACTCTGTGAATATTGGTATGCAGATATGAAATTTTTCTTTTAGCTGGAGATGAAATGATTTCAAAGAAAGCATTCATTTTAGATTTAGTAGGCTGAAATAACACTTTTCATTTAATCTGTATAGAATGTAATGACTCAGGTGGTTTAAAAAGTAAGACTTGAATAATTAATATGTTAAAAATGGTTGTATTTTGCGATGGCTGTATAATTCTGTCTTAGAGGCCTATGAAACCAATTGAGAGTAGAGTTTCTGGTAAATACACATGACAAACTTCATAGAATCATCATAGACTCATGGAATGGTTTGCGTTGGAAGGGACCTTAAAGACCATCTAGTTCCATCCCCCCTGCCATGGGCAGGGACACCTTCCACTAGACCAGGTTGCTCAAAGCCTCATCCAGCCTGGCCTTGAACACTCCCAGGGATGGGGCATCCACAGCTTCTCTGGGCAACCTGTTCCAGTGCCTCACCACCCTCTCCGGGAAGAACTTCTTCCTGATATCTAATCTAAACCTCCTCGCTTTCAATTTAAACTTCCTTGCTTTGTTGATTTGTTGAGTTCTTCCATTTATATTTTTAATTTCAGCAACGTTATTTCAGAAATGGCAGTTAAAAGGCAGTCCCCGGCTCAGAGGCATGTGAGAATATCCAATCGCATTTCCTTGGAGCTGGATGAGGATGGTCAAAGAATCAAGTCTCAAAGACTCTCATCTCAGTCTTCTGACTCCAGAAGGTATTTTTGTTGTGTTTCCATCCATTTTGGTGTGGCATAAATAGGGGATTGTGACTTCCCATAAGGAACAAATTGGAACATAAGTGTTGAGCCGTGTAGATCATGCAAAACCTCAAAGAAGTGGCTGTAGCCAGTCATTAGAAGAACTTAACCTGCTTGCTGAAATGCTTCTGAGTAACTTCCTTGTTCTTGAACTACCAAACTCTTACGGTGTGTTGAGGAAGTATCTCTTGGACCTCTCCAGTGTTCTAAGGCCAGCAAGCAGTGTTTTCTTTCCCTGATGAGAAGCTTGTAGGAAGTGCAAGAGATGGTGCTTGTTATAGGAGTTGAAGCGACAGTGTGGAACAAAGTTCTAGACCAAGCCCTTCGTGACTTAGGCGTTTCTGTCCTGAGGTGTTCCTTCAGCTATACGCTGCTGATCTGGGGAGCAAGGGAGGTGACTTCATTACCGGTTGGTGAATAGCTCTATAGATATTTTTAATCTGGGGTAATTGTCAGACAGAGCTGGTAGTCACATGAAAGTAATTTTGTTAATAGGCTATGGTTCTTGACTGGCTATGAGAAGTGCTTTATTTAAGGTGTTGGATTAAATGTTTTTCAAAGTTTGAAAGAATAGAAATAATATCATCTACGAGTATAAGCTGATAACCTGAGCTATTACGTGCTTGTACAGTGTATGTTATTTTGTATCTTTGCTGAGTTTTTCGTTTATTAACATACTGCAAAGTAAAGTGGAATTGCACTTATGTTTGAGAACATTTATTAAGTTTATCCTATCTGAGAAGCTTTCTTGCCTTCTCTGTATGATGAGACTATACTTGGTATATAACTAGGAACAGTACCTTAAAATAGTTTGTAAAATTTCTGTAATGAGCAAACAGTCTTCAGTTTCAGTCTTAAGTTTCCTCCTTTATCGCTGGAAATCTGACTGGTATACTTACCAATTGATAATGTGACAAGGATGGGCTAGGAAAAACACCCAAGTTGAAACTGAGTTAGTAGATTTCAATGAAATAAGTGATATTGCTTTATCCCAATTTGAACTGGCAATTTAAAATAAATGTTCTTCCAAGTCATGCTTGTATCTTCAGCCAGTGTTGTTGGGAGTTACACACAGATAGGAAAACACAATTCTAAATCAACATTCTTTTGAGGTTCTGTAATTAGATTTCTCTGTGCTGAAGTAGATCCAGGGCAGTTACATCAGTAAAATGTAACATGACAAGAGAAGGTTTGCAGAAGGAGTTGTGGCCATCAAAAATCTACAGTAAATCCAGAGAGGGGAAATTTTAAGGTCAGGAAGGGTAACTGTTGCCAGGGTAACAGTGAATATGTAATAACATCAACTAGGGACTATTAGAATTTCAGTGGAAACCTGGAAGATTATATGATTGAAAGAATCATTTGTTTGTAAGTTCAATGTGTTCTGCAGTAAAGGCATTGGGTTTTCTTGGTTTACGTTTATAGGAAAATCAGTTTTGATTATTTGTTGAATCCTTGGATTTTAAATTTTTTTTAGTATAGGCTTATGCTAAAGATAAATATGATTAAAAATAGATGGTCAGAGTGAAATACTTTTATATTCAGAACAAAGCATCAGGGTGATGCTATTTAAAATATATCCTGCAGATACACTTTGAGTGTTTGCCATATGGCAGAGAAGGTGGCTGTGTAATCTTCCAAAAAGGCTATTTATGTCATAAAGCAGGAATTGTTTGATTTAGCTGTTTTCCTTTTCTCCTCCTGAATTGTGCAATATTTTTTACGGGGTGGGGGGGGGGAAAACCCCAAATCGCCAGATTCACTGTTCAGTTGCAAGTTTCTAAAATTGCTTGAGTACTGTGGTTTGAAACTGTTCAGCTTTGTTCAGATTCCTAAATGCTTCAGTAAAAAATGACTGCAAATGTAATGTTTGATTTATGTTCATTCTTTCACACGAAAATGTTTTGGGAAGCTCTGTTATGGACAAAAAAGAGAGTCCTGAACACTCTCTCTGGTTAAAAGCCTGAAGGTTTAGCGAGCGTCACGATCTCATATTTTTTTTTTTCTCCAGAGATATGTTAGTTCATGAGAATAATTTGTGCTTTTAAATTGGTTACCTGGCAGTGTTGTGAGGTGTTGTGAAATACTAAATATCATTTTTCTTTTTCGTTTATAGAAGTCTCAAAATAGAAAGGAGGCTTAATATATTCACTAAGGCTTCTACAGAAACAGAAAACACACTGAAAACAGGTTAGTGGAAATTCAATAATAAATTGCCAAGTTTTGAATTTTTAGAATATCAAGAAATTCACTGTTGTGAAGGAGACTTATGACCTGTGAACTTCCTGCGTTCTGACCTGTAAAAAATGAATAATGTAACTGATTTTTAGTAAGCAAAACTTTCATGCAGTGCAATAGATTAATGTTTTCTTTACTAAGCAGGATGCTGTTACTGAACTTGAAGGGTAAAACTGGCTTTTTGTCACTAAGGTCAGTCTTTCTTCTGTGAGTGTAAAACCAGCATGAAGAAATGGGTATGTTGGCTCCAGTAGCTGATTTGGTCAAGATGCAAGCTTGCTGCATTCATCTTATGGCAAAGAAACACAAGGCTGTGATTGCAGGGGAACAAGCATGTTCTTGTACAGCTGGCCAAGCATTAGCAGGGTATAAAAAAAAAAAACCCCAACCCAAGACTATGCATTTGGTTGCTTTGTGACCATCTCTTGTTTAGTGTTATGTATGTAGCTTGAAAGGTCCTGTAAGTGGCTGACGAACGATGCCTTACTTTTCCTACTGTAAAGCAGGTATTTTTACTATCATGAATGTTTAGAATCATAGAATAGTTTGGGTTGGAAGGGACCTTTAAAGGTCATCTAATCCAACCCCCTGCAATGAGCAGGGACATCTTCAACTCGACCAGGTTGCTCAGACCCCCATCCAACCTGACCTTGAATGTTTCCAGGGATGGGACTTCTACAAAGTCACTGGGCAACCTGTTCCAGTGTTTCACCACCCGCATTGTAAAAAATTTCTTCCTTATATCTAGTCTGAATCTAGAATCTAATCTCTTTTAGTTTAAAACCTTTGCCCATCTTTCTTATAAGCCCCTTTTAAGTACTGGAAGGTGCTATAAGGTCTCCCCGGAGCCTTCTCTTCTCCAGGCTGAACAAGCCCAACTCTCTCAGCCTGTCCCCATAGCAGAGGTGCTCCAGCCCTCTGAGCATCTTTGTGGCCTCCTCTGGACTCACTCCAAGTGGTTGATATCCTTCTGATGTTGAGGGCTCCACAGCTAGACACAATACTCCAGGTGAGGTCTCACAAAAGCAGAGTAAAGGGGGAGAATCCCCTCCCTCAACCTGCTGATCACACTTCTGATACAGCCCAGCATACGGTTGGCTTTCTGGGCTGCCAGCGCACACTGCCGGCTCATGTCCAGCTTTTCATCCATCAGTAGCTCCACGTCCTTCTTGGCAAGGCTGTTCTCAGTCACTTAATTTCCAGGCCTGTATTGATACCAAGGGTTGCCCCTACTTAGGTGCAGGACCTTGCACCTCATGAGGTTCACACGGGCCCACTTCTCAAGCTTGTCCAGGTCCCTCTGGATGGCACCCTGTCCCTCAGACATGTCTACCGCACCACTCAGCTTGGTGCCATCTGCAGATTTGCTGGGAGTGCACCTGATCCCACCATCTATGTTGTTGGTGAAGGTACTAAACAGAACTGGTCCCAGTATGGACCCCTGAGGGACACCATTTGTCACTGATCTCCATCTGGTCATTGAGCCATTGACCACTACTCTCTGGATGCAACTGTCCTGCTAATTCCTTATCCACCACATATACATGCCAAAACTCATGTAAGACAAAACCAAAAACTCACAGCAGAACAGATGTGACCCACCTTCCTATTCACGGACTGGCACAGCTCTCGGGAACAGCCTTACTGACACGTAAGGGGGAGGGATAGCTTTCACACGTGAATACTCGGCTTTACTCAGACTGGGTTTTGGCCGAGCAAGTGTGAATACAGGCAAGCCATTTGAAGAACTCCCTCACTCACTTGTATTTCTGAAAAATGAAGCTGTGCATTGTTAGCACTGACCTTCATATGCTGATTTCCCGTAGCTATTCTGAGGGCCTTTGGAAAAAAGACTTTATTCCAGTGTACCGACTTAGAACTATATATAAAGTCAGCACCTGTAAAAGAAATCATGTTCCCTCTGATATCTCAGAAAAATGATAGATACTTGTTTCTGTTCCAAGAGTAGGACTCTTCATTTTTACCAGATTCTAGCCAAGGAGTTTTCTCCTTTTTTCACACTTGGAACTGTGGGAAGAAATGAATTTGTTTACTTAATTTCTTTGGTAAACTGTCAGACAGTGCTCTGTGCATGTTTTCAAGCAGCTTTCTGAATGCAGCCACCTTGGTGAGGAGCTATGAAAATTGTTTATTAGAATGGAATTCAGTTTGCTGTTTGGTTTTCTTTCTTTTTAAGATTACCGTTTTCCTTAAAATTGGTCCATTTTACATATAAAAGCAGAAGGAGTCTTGCAGTATTTGGTTTTAGCTATCTTGGCAAATGTGATGTTCAAGTAGCTGGCGTTTGTGTTGAATCAGGGTTCCTCGGGTAAAATGGCGAGAATGTAACCTTTCTTTTTCACATGAGCACACTGCAGATGCAGTGGCACATAGTAGTCATAAAGTTGAAGTACACTTTTATTTTTAAAACACAAAACTGGACTGTGCACAAATTGTGTAAGAGAGCAAGTGGACTTCACTGGATTTGTAATTAGATATTAAGAAATAAGCTTCTTTTAGCTTTTTATGTGGTGTTTCCTTGTTTGATTCCTGGTATCCTTGAGGAAATCTACCATATATTCTAAGCCAGGAAGCTTATTGCTTGGCTTACTGGCTAAACCTGATGACAAAAAAGAAAATCTTGCATTGATCTCAGGAAATACTTGATACCTTGATTCATTGCTTTGACTGTCGGCTCATATTAATGGAGATGAGTTAAAATATTGTTTATACATTACAGAAAAGCGAGTTCTGTGTTACGTATTGAATATTTATTTTGAAAACCTGAACGTTAACTGGAAAGTAGGTTGGCATCCCGAAAAAAATTATTCATAACTGTTAACATAAACATATTTGCACCTCTGTGAAACAGAAAACACTGATATTTTATCACCTTTACTGCAAGCTGGAAAAAATGAGTTTCTGCTCTCTTCTATTAGAGGATTTATTGGTAGCACGTTATTAGAAGGTATTCTTTAAGATGTGGACAATAATTTCATTCTGATACTGTTTCTTATGTTGTCATTTATCTGTATTTTATTCCTGTTTCCAGCCCTCAAATCAAAGTAGGCAGCTAGGGAATACAGTTCTGGAAATTTCTCTGCTAAGTAAAAAATAATTTGAAAAAGTATCTCTGATTTTAACAATGAAAACACATTTCAGTATGTAAAAATTCTGCTTGCCCTTTAATTTTTTTTTTTCTTAAAGGGCTGGGGGGGGCATGGTGTAGGAATTTTTTATCCAGTTGAGTTGTAAGCCACTGAGCCAAAGATGAAATTACATCTTAGTTTCAAAAACACTTATGAGTAGTAAAATAATAGCTGATTGGCCATGATCCACTTCAAATGGACTGTGACATTTGAATTCACATCAAGACCTCTGTTGTGAGGAGCTTAGGCTGAACTGATAACTGGGGGAGACAAGAAAACAAAGGGGAGCACGATTTACGCCAGCTCATGAGACAGCAGCCCAGGGCGCTTCCAGCGGTTCCTCCCTGTCCTGTGGTAACAGCTTGTTCCCTTCGCTTCAGCGATGCGGTTCAGTCTGGGCTCATGACCAGTTCTCCTGGGTGGAGGGGCAGGAACTCCTTAAGAGTGACTCTGCTGCCATATGAGTGCGCTTTGATTTAAAAAAAAAAAAAAGAATTCTATGCGTCAGGCAAGATGCATCCCTAAAGGGACTGGTTGATTTCGGAAGAAGAATAGGAAATCAGGGTTTCTCAAGCACAAGAGCCAAAAACTGTGACACGATCGTTGGGGAAGGAATTGCCTTCGTTTGTAGACTGTTGTCTCCCTGAGTGAGAGTATAGCTGAGAAGTACCTGAAAAACTCCTGTAGTAAGCAAGATTCCTTTAGCAGAGTGCCCCCAGGCAAGTACAGAATGTGTTGTATGTACAGTTTGTGAAAGACAAAAAGGAAAAAAAGGCTGTGGAAAAATTTAATTCCTGCTCTGTACAAATGGCTTAAAAATAAATTGTCCCCTAGAAGTTCAGAATAAATGTCACCAGACATTTGAGAACTTAATTGACTTCCATTTCAGCAGAGAACTCTCATTTGAGAAAGGTGATGCTGGCATCTAAAGTAGAAAAACTTGCACAGCTGAAAGTATTATTCTCCGTAAAGACTAATGCTGAAGGACTTGGTTTTAGCTAGTGAGAAGTCTTCGGCACGCTGACAGATCTTTACAAAATTTCTTTTTTTTAGTATCCTCACCAACAATTTGGGATCTGGAATTTGCCAAGGAGATTGCAGCAATAACTGCACAGCCTCCCCGAAACGGTTTTGAGGAGATGATCCAGTGGACAAAAGAAGGAATACTGTGGGAGTTCCCAATTGACAATGAAGCTGGTACGTGCACTGTCAGCTTTTATTATCTCTGTATTTGCCTTTTTCGAGAATTAGAACTTTGACTGTTTTAAAATAGTGTTTCAGCTACGAATCAGGTGTTTGATAGTAAACAAATAGAACTTTCCATCTGCCCCAAAGAAGAGATGCTTCAGATGAACTTGTTCTGGCACTCCTCAGGTGAAGTCCTGCAGGTGGTTTGGCTGATCTGAGGACCAGCTGCTGCCAGAAGGGGGAAAACTCCCTTCCTCCCTCAGTCCTGATGCTTTCAACACCAAAAGGCGGTTCAAGTCTATTATGTAATACCTTCTACTATGCGAGCTCTTTAAAGAAACTTCTAACAGGGAATCTTAAAACTGCCAGTGCATGTTTTATAACCCCGATTCTGTTCTTCGGTGCAGCGCTCAGACCAAGTGGCTACTGGGTTCTAATCAGCTGTCGGCCAGTTCCATGTCTGCACTGGCCAAGCGTTAAACAGTTGTTGCTCCCTTTGCTCTATATGTTTCATAAGAAAAAACAGTCACAGTATTCACTCTCTCTGGGCATCTATCTTAACTAGACATCTTTGTGCGCTGTATTTACTTTTATTACCATTTAAAAAAAAAAAAACCAACCAAGCTCTGTGTGAAGTTAAGCCAGCAGGGAGAGAGAATGGTAAAGAAGGGAAGAACAGCTCCAGAAAGCAAGTGTGCACTTCAGGAATGGGGACTTCATAACTTCAGGGAGAGCTTGGCTGTGGGTTGGGTTTTTTTAAAAGACTTTAAAGACATCAAACAGAACTACTTTAGAATGATTCAGGCACTAAAAGCAAAACAGGTTGGTATCTGAAGCTGGGAGTCTTTGAAAATCTGTCCTATACCGAGTTGCAAATTGCATAATGTGCTTCATTGTTTCTTAATGTTTATTCTCATCCAGTTTTGGCAGTTTCTTCACAGAATTTAATCGCTGCTCCCAGAATTGATTTGTTCCATCATGTAGAAATCCAAGTATATTCTAGTCATGTTTTTGCAAGCTTAAAACCACTGCGACCAATGGGTTTTGTGTTGTTGTTGTGTGGCTGGAACCCTGCTGTCTGGGGCCGTAAGTGGACCAGGCGTCTTTGGCGGCCAATGGTTTTTCTGTTGCAGCAACGCGGCCGGAACCGTGCTGTCTGGGATGGGGTGGCGAATGGACAAAGAGTCTTTACATACACTTAAACAAGAATCTTTATTGATTTGTCCACAAAGACTAGTCATGTGGAACATTCCAGTGGAGCGTTTCAAAAATCTATCACCTCTCAGGTTGAAATAATCAAGTCAGTAAATTCCATCCTATCATACTGCCACTCACAGGCTATTAATCAGTTCAGGTATGTCAAAACACAGTTAAAAGCTTGAGAACCTTGTTCCAATCGTATCAACGTACAGTAATTTCAGTGGCTCTGCAAGAAAAAAAAAAAAGATGCCCTTTCCTGCTGTTAATTTTGCAGTTTTGTAGCAGTTATCTCCCTCACTGGGAGAACATGACCTCCGCTTGTTCTGTATCGAGGAATGTGCTATTTTTCCTTTATGCCAGAAGCATGCTGCTTTAAAAACCTAAGTGTAATTAAATTTTCTATTGAGGAAGCACATATACTCAACTCTTAGCATTGTGAAAGCCTTTAAATCTTTAAATGAAATATAAAAAGGAAAGAAGACCGCTTGTAACAGTTTTTCTTGGCTCCAGAGCATCTCTGGTGTTCTCATTAGTGTGCTTTTACCAAGGCAGTGTGCAGTGCTTTGAGACATCAGGGCAAGGTCATGCTTTTTAAAACTTCTCTGGCCTTGGTGTGAACATCTGAAGGTGTGGCTAGACGTGTTGCCTTGCTGTGGTGGCCAGTAGCAGCGTTCCCCCCAGCACGCTGCCCTGTTTTCTGCTCCTGCCTGCGTGTCCTTTCCCTTCTCCGATGCAGTTGAAGTAACTGTTGGGCAGAAAACTACCCTTTTTTTTTTTTTTTTTTATTTCTATCTCTCTGACTCTGAATTTTTACCAGATTATCAAACCATTAGTACAGCTTGCGTAACATTGTTCTTGCTCCTCATCCCTTCTGCTTGCCTCTTCCAGTAGCTTTAGTTCTACTCCATGACTTGCCATGGCACAGAGTTGGGAAAAAAATTGATTTCTGCCCCTTTCTTAAACGATTTCTGTGCATTTATGCCTTGGTGACTCAAATCCTGAGGAATGCGGTTGTTAAAAAGGACAGTGCAGATGATTGGTGCTACTTTGCTTTAGCACCTCGTTCTGAGGAGCAAATGCTTCTGGTGGGCCAGAGATTGTTATGGCAGAAGTGAAAGGCTTAATGGAAGTCTCAGAAAATTAATGCCCCTGATGGCTTCCATAGGGAAAAGTTCACCAAGTCTTGTTCCGGCTGTTCGGCTAAGATGCTGTTCCCAGCAGAGCAGCATTGGATCAGTTTGCCAACCGGGGTGGCAAATGTTACACGAGCGTTTGGGGAGGGTGGTGTGGTGCATTGCTCTACTAATTCTGAGTCTATTCTAGGGATCTACTGTAAGAGCATGATGTATCTCAGTCTAAAAGTCCTGGAATGGTTTGGGTTGGAAGGGACCTTAAAGATCATCTAGTTCCAACCTCCCTGCCATTCTGCTAGACCAGGATACTTGGTCATCTTTATAGCAGGTCAGCAACACTCCCTGTAAGGATGGACATTGCGTTTGGGATGTCGTCTTCTACGCAAGCTTGGTCACGTCTTGGAAGGGTTAGTGTTTCAGCTAGAGAAAACCTGTTTTGCAGTACATAGGGGATTGGAAATAGGATACTGAGAGCGGGTCACTTCTTGCTTTGAAGTTGATAAACAAAATCCTCTATTTTAGATTCCCACCACGCATGTTCTTTCAAATTCGGTTTCTGAGGACAGTGCAAGAGAGGCTGAGGGCCAGGCTGCTTCTTCCCATGCAGCAGAGGCTATGGCTTGCTGGGGATGGGGGAGTCATGCGAGAAGATCTCATCAGTTCCCACCAGAGGTCTCAGCCCCTGATGCTTTGGGCGATTGTGGTCTCTTCTTGTGATGCGCACTTTACTTTTTTTGAGGACTGAAATATGTGGACTTAACACTTCATCCCTAAACCACATAGCATGTCTTTTGACAGATGGGGGATCAAAATATATGATGTAATATTTCCTTCTGACCTACATTTTTGTAAGACTAGAAATGGTTTAATTTCTTCTGGGTTAGAGATGAACATTGGTGACATTATTAATTAGACGTAATCTCTCCTGATACCCTGTATCCCCAAAAGAAGAGGATCCAGAAGGCAAAATTTTACTGTCAGCATTCTTCAGATTCTTTCAGCAGTGGGTTCATTATGTTAATTCTCTTGGCTTTGTTTGACCAGCAAAAGCATGGAAATCTGGAAAGGATGTTAGGTTGTGAAAGCAACCAGCGGCATCCGGGTACGGTGAGATTCCACTGTCCCTTGGTGAGGGAAAGTCATTGTGGGTGGCATGGTAAAAGGATCAGCTCTCTGCTTGTCTAAGTGGATATAAATTTCCAAACAGCAGAAATACACCTTCTGAAGCTGACATGACCTTTTTTTTTTTTTTTTAAACATAAAGGAAAGTGAGCTTCTAAAGAAGGAAACATGCTTCCTTTTTCACAGGCGAGGCAGATAAATGTGGCATGTGGCTGGTATTGATAGACACGTATTTCTGGGAACAATCTGTGGGGAAAAATTGAGGTGTTTCCCAGCTCCTTCAGCTATTGCAGTACCTGAAGTTTAAAATGTGGAAGAAATAATGTGAATACAAGCTGAGAGACTTCCATCCCAGGGATCTGCCTCATTTGTTCTGAAGCTGTGGAAGGTCCAGCACAGGAGGAAGCCCAAGACTGACATGGCTTAATTACCTCTGTTTTAATACTCCTGATTTAATGTTGTCAGATATTAGATCATATCCTAGCTAGTATAGAAAAACACGTACACTTATCTCTACCGTGTAGGCTTCCCATCTTTGTTGTCTGGAAACGTTCATATGCAATATTTCTCTCATAACAGATTTTTACTTGAAGTTGCAAATGTCATTTTAAATCTGTAGCAAATTGGCATCAAATAAAAAGTTTTCATGTATCACTGACTGGAGAAAAGTCTTTCAATTGCAGATCTTGGTTTGCCTTGTTGTTTTTATCTCAGGGAACTGCAAAAGCAGCCTTTCTTCCTGTATGTAGGAATTTATGTTCTGTCTTGTGTACGTTCACGTCACGGTATGAACATCGGCAAAGGAAATCTACAGGACAGACAACAAAAATTTACGATAGGATCTGAGCTGTGCTGGATTAGAGATCTACAGTAATCCATTGTCCCGTGTTCCTGTGGATGCTTTTGCAGTGCATCAGTTTAGATTGCACTGGTTACGACTCAGAAAGTAGAAGCTGGTGAGATATGCTACTTTTACATCCGTGTACACTCACAGATTCAGAAAGGGTTAGAAAAACACTTTCTTGTGCCCAATAGGATGTGAAAACCCATGACTTGCAATGAATTTGCAAGTGCGTGTTAGCCCTTCAATATTACCTGCTTAGAGGTTGCCTCATTTGTCCAAGACCAGGTTGTATTCTCTAATCCTCTGCAGAATTTAGGCAATTGGTATTTTCTTAGAAATTTCTTAAGAAACTGTCTGCAACGTGAACGGTGGTACCCATGGTGAATCAAAACTTTCACTTAGTGAACCAACAGGTTTTTAGCAAGAAGATTTTTTTTTTTTTTTTTTAGTATTTATTTATTGCCCTTGCTCCTGCCCTGGCATCAGCTTTCAGCGAGATTACCAGCCAGAAAGTTGATTTAAATAGTAAATATTCTTATAAATGACAGCACAAAAAGGAAGCAGTATGGTAGACAGGAGTATGATATATTCTAGCATTTTCTGTGTGGAGGGAGAAATTAATGTCTTAAAATTCGCCAGGTTCTTCCACTCCTGTGTGGTTGGCTTAACTGTTCAAAAGAATTAAAAGGCACAGAACCACTAATTTTACTAATTTCTTTGCAAACTATATCCTGTTTTACTTTGTTAAATTTGCTCTTTTATGATGATAATCACTTGGGTGGTGGTTTTTTTTTTGTCCCTTCTGTTAGGGATGGAGGATGATGCTGAATTTCATGAACATATCTTTCTGGAGAAACACATTGAAACCTTTCCCAAGCAAGGACCTATTCGCCACTTCATGGAACTAGTCATCTGTGGGCTTTCGAAAAACCCCTACCTCAGTGTTAAACAGAAGGTTGAACACATTGAGTGGTTTCAGAAGTATTTTGAGGAAAAGAAGGAACTTCTTCAAGAGATTTGAGACTTGGGAAGGTGCTTAACCTTGAAATGAAGAATAATAAACCGAAAGGTCATGCTTTCACGTGTGTGTCTGTGTGTATGTAGGTATCTTCTGGCAGCAAAACGTGGAACTGAAAAGTATGGCTTTTGTAGAATGTGCATTTAAAGTTCAGTTTATCAAAATTGTTGTCTTTTAAATTTGAAACTCATCTTTTGACCATACGGAATACTAGGTCTAATTCCACTTCCTACACCCTTCACATGTGACGTGTATCTTGACAGGTTCGATCATCTTTCCCGTTTTGGAAAACTGGAAATGCTTTCATTTTTAAAAACTCATGCTGAAAAGCTGTTACTGAGGTAGTAACAGTTCATTTTGTTAATTCATTACGTACCCTGGTATTTGGATGGTATCAATCCTTTCTATCCTTCTATCTTTCTATCCATTCTATGATTCTATGATTGATTCACTAATTATCTTTCTTTGTTAATTTAAAAAATTTTGCTAATGACTGAGTCATTTGAGTTGAATGCTTGTTAGTTCACCTCCTCAATGACAGGCTGTTGTATTCCTGAGGTGTGTGTGCAGCTCAATACCGGTGAGTTATATAAAATAATACGAGAAGTCTCTCCCACCATCCCTACATCCTTTCTGAAGCTTTTCACCAACTTCCCATCAGTATTTGTTGTTTAAAAATGGATCTGGTGCTCAGGTAATTCGTAAAGCTCTGTTTCCTTAGAGCAGGTGGTTTGATGACTGCAGTGTTTGGAGCTCAGGCCGTATCTCCTGCATCTCTGGGGCTGGAAAGACTTGACATTGCTGGCAGGGAGAGTTGTGGCCTACGGATTGCTGCCGTGTGATGCTGCTGCTGTTTTCTGATGTTGAAGTAACTTCATGTTTTCTAGATCCTTACTCCAACTAGATGTGTATGGTCCTATTAAGAAATTGCAATATATTTTACTTCAGTTACCTTCTGTGAAATTTCCACACAGAATTATTCACTCAGTCATTCAGAATCTCGGATTACATCTCTCTGCTTAACTTCCCAGAGCATTTCCAGCCTCGCATACTGGGTTCTACCTTGTCTTCTCGCATTCACTCCAACACTTCAGCAGGTGTTGGCCCTCTAAATATGCCCTGATCTTTTTCTTACCTCTCCTTGTAACCAGTGCAGGAAGAAGGAAGTTATGGAATGAAGGGAAAACACTGGCTGCTTATGCAAACTGGCTTTTAATCAGAATTATGAGAAAGCAAATGAAAAATAGTTTTTTTTTTTCAGTGGGTTAGAATGTTGTTGCTCGCTTCTGCTCATCTGCAGGAGGTGAGTTTGCCTGCCTGGCGAAGGGCAAGACTTGGGCCGTGGAAGGAAAAGCAGCTTTTTGACTTCCTGGCTGTAAGAACAGCAAGGTTCAAATTCTGCAGAAGTTTTCTGCCTCCTGGCTTT